ATCTATCTATGTATCTATCTATCTATCTATGTATCTATCTATCTATCATTTCGTGAGTATTTCCAATGCACGTATGTGTGTGCACCACCTGTCTTTGTGCCTGGTGTCCAAATAGGTCTCTAAAAACCAAAACCAAAGCACCCGACCAAAACCCTCTCAAAACACCCCACCAACTCAAAGAGCAGGAACCAGGTGTGCTGAGCACAAGCAGCCAGAGCCGCGCCCCACTCCCTCCACCACCCGCCCCAAGCGCTGTCCGCGGCTTGAAGCGCGGGAGAGGGAGGCCTTCGGGCTCGGAGCCCCGCGCGGCCGCCCCCAGGCACCCCTGCGCAGCCGGAGCCCCAGGCCTGGTGGCACGGGACAGTCTAGCTGTGGAGCGCTGGCGGCGCAGAGGCTCCCGCAGAGGCTCCCGCAGCGGCCCCAGAATCGGGTTTTGCAGGTTTTCCCCCGCGGTAGCCTGGAAGCGAACCCGAATGCCTCGGTTTCCCCAGTGCTAGGATCTCTAAGTGTGCACAGGCGGAGGTCAGAGGACAACGAGAGGAGTCCGCGCTCGCGTCCCCTCTGGTAGGGTGTGGGATCCGAACTGGAGTCAGCTGGCTCGGTGCCGAGCGCCTTCCCCCGCCCAGCCTCACTCTGTGCGGCGTGTGCTCGAGCTGTCCAGCAGGAACAGCACCTGCTTGTCAGGCTATTTGCCTCCTCCCAGCGAGGCGCTTTGAAGATGGTCACCTTTGTCAACGGACCCCGCAAACACTTGATAGACTCCGGTCTGGGCTTGCCCCGGTTAAGGGCAGGCCCTGAGGAGGAAGAAACGGGGCCGGGGGCGGCGGGGAGCCCCGGCACGCGGGCCCACCCGAGGCCTCGCGCGACCTCAGCGCCGGCGACCGCCGTGACGCACCGGACGCTTCCGATTTCACTTTCCTCTTCTCGGCCGGGCCGCTGCTCCGGCTCGGCGGCTGCCGGGGGTTCGCCCGGTGATCAGTGACGTCAAGCAGGCCGAGGTTCCCATTGGACGGCGGGGTTCGGCCCGGGCCAATCCCGGGGCTGGCCCGAGAAAAATCTCGGCGGGGCGG